TCCGCTTTCTCTTTTACGGGATGCACGGCTTTCTGGATGAGATCTTCTTCACCTTCTTCTTTGACGTGCTGGGCCAGGGGGACCGGGCCACCAGCGGCCACACGTCGCTCTGGTCCTTCTTCATGTACGGCAGCTGCAGCTTCGTGGTGGAAAAGCTCTATTTCTACCTGCACTACAGTCGCGGCTGGAGCACCTGGCAGCGGGTGCCCATCTACGTGATGTTCATCTACCTGTGGGAGCTGTCCTGGGGGCTGGGCCTGCGCGCCTGCGGCGCCTGCTCCTGGGACTACTCCCACTACCCGCTCAATTTCATGGGCCTCATTACCCTGATGTATTTGCCTGGTTGGATATTCCTTTGCGTGTACCAGGACCTGCTTTCCAACGCGTTGTGGCGAGTGCAGTACATACCAGCGGGCTGAAGCAAACCGGCCTCTGGATTCCCATCCGTGAATGCGGTTTATTTTTACACGTTTAAAACGGAGTGGTCTTCTTGGCGTTTTAGTTTTCATGCGTTGGACTAAACTCTTGCAACAAATTTCATCTTATCTTTTCGTTTTTTTCTGGCTGTTTGGGACCCGTGCATGATACCTTACTTGGAAATATTACTCAAAGTACTAACTCGTCCATATTGTAAAAACCCTCACAAGCCCAAACATTGGGAAGCTGTAGGATTCGCCTGTGTGGGCACAGGTGGCTGATAACTGCTGTGTTTTTGTTTTGTTTTGTTTTGTTTATTTTGGTGAGGAAGTTCTTCAAATCAGAGTGGCATTTTAGTTTTCATGCGTTGGACTAAACTCTTGCAACAAATTTCATCTTATCTTTTCGTTTTTTTCTGGCTGTTTGGGACCCGTGCATGATACCTTACTTGGAAATATTACTCAAAGTACTAACTCGTCCATATTGTAAAAACCCTCACAAGCCCAAACATTGGGAAGCTGTAGGATTCGCCTGTGTGGGGAAATATTACTCAAAGTACTAACGCGCCCATATTGGAAAACCCTCACAAGCCCGAACATCGGGAGGCTGTAGGGTTGACCTGTGTGGGCAGAGGTGGCTGATAACTGCTGTATTTGTATTTTATTTTTTTATTTTTTGGTGAGGAAGTTCTTCAAAGCAGAGGCCAGTGATTTTTACAAGATTTAGCAAAATGTTGTGGTTTAATGGTGTGTTTACCTTCTTTTGAATCCAATTTCACTTTAATTCCTTGCCATGTTTATCGAAGACTGCCGAAATCTAGTGTCTTGTACTCCTGAAACTACAGTTCATAGCTCTTAAGTGCCTCCCTTCTAGCCTACAAAGTGGAAAGAAACTGACAAATGTGAAGCCATCCTATGAACTGATGTTTAAATAAGTCTTTTCTAGCAACCCCAACAGGTGACACTGTGTTAAGTGTTTGATCTCCATCCGGGAAATGATGGTTTTCCAACGTGAGTTAGCCTTAAACTCCGAGGTTGATCAGATCCTATGTTACCTGTGGCCGTCCATGTTTGTTACTGTGTAATAATGTAAAATGTTTACCTTCCATGTCCAAGGGCCAAGCCAAATTATACCGCCCTCAGGAGTGTTCAACCTTTAGGACCTTTCTCCATGGAACTTCAAGAGCAGAAACAATTCCTTGAAATAACATGAACTTGAACGTTCGCCCTAATTGCATTAGGCCTACCTGTTTTCTGCATATTTCTGCCATGGCTCACTTGTAAACATTTTTCTTTTTCCTCCTGGGCCCACTCAGAGTTCTTGGGCGAAGCCCGGTGTGTAATTCAAACTATAAATCGATAGTGTTTTGGTGACTCATTATTAATGTCTGCAAGTTCCAAAGTTAAATGAGATGATGTAAACCATTTAAAGAAATCATGTCTAATCTATTAAACATGTATTTAAGGTTGTTTGCTGTTTTTATTAAATGTTTAAAAAAAAAAACAAGTAGAGCCCTAACCGGTTTGGCTCAGTGGATAGAGTGTCAGCCTGTGGACTGAAGGGTCCCAGGTTCGATTCCGGTCAAGGGCATGTACCTTAGTTGCGGGCACATCCCCAGTGGGGAGTGTGCAGGAGGCAGCTGATCAATGTTTCTCTCTCATCAATGTTTCTAACTCTCTATCCCTCTCTCTTTCTCTCTGTAAAAAATCAATAAAATATATAAAAAAAGAAAATGAATAATCTTATAAAATAAATGAATAAATAAATAAAACAAGTAGAATTGAGTATGGCTCAGCTGAGGATGACTAATAGCTTCTCAGTTTTCATTATAAACATCATTAGGAAAACTTACAGTGTGTGCAAATGAGTGGTTTCTTATCCAAATTATTAGCTTGCCTATGCTGTGAAAGGGAACTTCTTCCTTTTCTCAAAAATAAAAACCAACAAAAAACAAACACTTTTGCTATAGCAGTAAAGATGAGTATGTCTTTAGATTTGATTAAGGCAGACGTAATTGGAGAATATATTATTTTAATCCACTATGAGGTTGTGAGCTAAGTTATAAGTAATGCTATATAATCAACCCCACCCGTGATATTGATCATGTCAAACTGATTGTTTTAGTCAGTCAAAGCTGAATAGAAATGTAACAGTAAGCTCAAATGTTTTCAGAGAGTGCAAGTCATTTTCTGATACTTGGTCATGGGTAAGATCCCTGAAAACCATGAGGGGGGAAGTGTAAGTGCAGATACTAAAGTTAGGCAGATGCTGAACAAAATATTTGTAATTCAGGTGTGACACATGGGCATAAATCTGAGTTAACCAAATCCACGTCTTCTGAAACCCTTGCTACAGGTACATCTTTGCCCTTATGCCCTTCACAGGCTGCTCCTCAGCCCTGCTTACCTGCTTACCAGCCTTCTCAGGGCTGTCAGGACCTGGGAAAGCCTGCTACTGTTTGCTTGTGAGTGATCATGTTATTTAATGGAAAGTCAAGGTTTTCATTCATTCCATTCACTCAGGAAGTAGTTAGAGCACCTGTTTGCTGGGCTCTCGCTTGGACTCAGATACAGCAGTGACCCAACGCAGACAAAATCTCTGTCCTTATAAAGCTCACTTTCTAGTGGTTTTATTACATGAGATGCTACTTATTTGCAAGGCTACTGTTTTAGTAATAAACTCTGAAGGCAACTATTATGAGGGCTTTCATCAGGCCAGCCCCTGGCAAAAGCCTTTTAACAGTCTGTCTGCAAGTTTTACAAAGAGCTTGTTGATGTGTGTGTATTCAGGAAGGGATTGCTCTGTCCCTTAACTCTGCACCTTGCTCTGGACATACCATTCTGTGTTTACTCAACTTCTCACAAGTGAGGTTTGGCTACAACTTTGAACCTTCTAAGACAAAGCAGGAAAAGATATATGATACATTTTAAGTAAAGATATATAATCTTAATTAAATATATCCATACATATATTAAGGTCATACATATATATGACACAAATATACCTATTTGCACATATACACACATTTACTTAAACCTCTAACAACCCTCCTTTTACAGATGAGAACAGTGAAAAGGAAGTCCAAAGATGTTAAGTAACTGCCCAAGTCATACAGCTATTGGACATTTAGACTTGTGCCTCTGTCTACTGACCACAGTGATTTGGGGTCTCTTATGGGCTTCACCTTACAATCTGTATTACTTTTCCCTCCCCTATCGCAGATGCAAGGGCAGCTGCAGAAAAGCCAGACACTAGTAGCAAAAATACTCTTTCGTGTTGCCTTTAATTATTTTTGGAGACATTTATTCTGAGTTCTATTAAACACCCAGACTCTAAGAAAGTTCTTAATAGAAAAACATGAAGAAGTAACAAAATGGTTTTCCCTCCATGTTTAACTTATACAATGCTGAAATTTCTTACTAGAAGTGCTTTAAACTTTAAATAAGCTCTATTTTAGTTCTGAATCTAAAGAGAAATACAACCTTTAAAGTTTTTCATGTTAACAAATACAGAAGTTCCTATGTTACACGAAGACTCCAATCAAGTTGATATCCCATTTCAATATTTCAGACATTCCAGTGACTTCATGTAATTAACTTTGAATATTTTATTATAAATATTTAACATTTCGTATTTCACCAGAAAACAGCTTAGAAAAATATGACCTGTCCTATGTTATTTAAAAAAAAAAGCCACACATTTCTAATTGATTAATTCTACCCCTTTGGGGGGAGAAAAAATGTCTACTGTTTTGATATAGTTTCTGTTGACATAGCGGACCTGGTCCTGTTTAATAAGGATGGTGAAGAAGAATTTGTTAGGCTGCTTTAGTTCCTTCTCCACTTCCAAAATACACTTTAAAAAAATCAATATGCTTGGACAGGGAGTTATACTCATGATATGGGCTTAAAATGATAAATAAATCATTGGATTGGAAGCTTTTTAATGCGATCAATTTTTGCTCATATTAAAAGGCATTAAAACCCTTTGCCTTTTAAATTAATTTTAAATATATTACCCTCAATATATTTCCCAACAGTGCTGAGTGGAACTAAGCTGCTTTACTGAAGGAAAGGAGAAACACCCTTCACCTCCTCCCATCACAAACATGCCTCCACTAATGCTGAAGGGAAACACCGCAGGAAAAGATGGGTCTGTTGTGTTGCAATTTCTTTCTTTTTTTTATGTTCTTAGATTTGGCATCAGAGGAACCAACAAAAACAGCAATTGTCTGTGTGGACTTTTATTCGTTAGAATTGGCCACATTCTTACTTTTAACACTAAGGCATGAGACACGACACAAACAATGGCTTCCAGTCACTAGTAACCCAAATTGTAATTAACCTGGGATGTGTAGACAGAATATATTTTTTCTTCTTTTTAAATGTTTTTTTAATATTTTTCATTATTGATAATATTATAGATATCCCATTTCCCCCCCTCTTCCCCCTCCTCCCAACTCTTAACCCCTCTGCCCCAGGTCTTCACTACCCTATTGCCCATTTCCATGGACTATGCATGTAAGCATATCCTATAGAATAAAGAGGTAATATGCAAATTGACCATCACTCTAACACACAAGATGGCCGCCCACATGTGTACACAAGATGGCCAGCAGGGGAGGGCAGTTAGGGGGGACAAGGCCTGCAAGGAAGGGCAGTTGGGGGGGCCAGGCCTGCAGAGGAGGGCAGTTGAGGGCAATCAGGCTGCCAGGAGAGTGTTTAGGGGGTGATCAGGCTGGCAGGAGAGTGGTTAGGGGGTGATCAGGCTGGCAGGAAGAAGCAGTTAAGGACAGGCAAGCGGTTGGGAGCCAGCTGTCCTGGATTATGAGAGGGATCTCCGACTGCCCATTTAGGCCCGATCCCACCAGGCCTAAACAGACAGTCGGACATCTCTTGAGGAGTTCCAGATTGGAGAGGGTGCAGGCTGGGCTGAGGGACACACACCACCCCTGTGCACGAATTTCATGCAACCGGCCTCTAGTGAGTATATAAGTTCTTTGATTTATCTCTTCTCATCCCCCACCCCACATTGAGGTACGCACATACCTCCCTGTTCCATGCCTCCCTGCTTCCTGTCTTATTTTGTTGGTCAGTTTATGGTCAGCTTCCACAAATAAGTGAAATCATGTGATACATTTCTATCTCAGTTTGGCTTATTTCACTTAGCATAATATTTTCCAGGTCCAACCATGCTGTCCCAAAGGGTAAAAGATCCTTCTTTTTTACAGCTGCATAATATTCTATAGTGTAAATGTCCCACAGCTTTTTTATACATTCATCTGCTGATGGGTACTTGGCTGTTTCCAGATCTTAGCTATTGTCAACAATGCTGCTATGAACATAGGGGTGCGTATATATTCTTTCTGATGTCTGTTTCAGGTTTCTTAGGATATATTCCTAGAAGTGGGATCACTGGGTCAAACAGAGGTTCCATTTTTAATTTTTTGAGGAAACTCCATACTGTTTTCCTTGCATTCCCACTAGCAGTGAGCTAGTGTTCCCTTTTCTCCACATTCTTGCTGGCACTTATTGTTTCTTGATTTTTTTATGATAGCCATTCTGACAGGTGATAGTTCATTTTAGCTTTAATTTGCATCTCGCTGTTGATTAGTGATGTTGAGTATTTTCATATGTCTCTTGGCCATCTGTATGTCCTTTTTACAGAAGTGTC